CAGCCACAGAGGATCACAGCACGGCGAGTGAGGCAGACTCACCTGCCCGCACGGGATCCCGCGCTTCTTATGATGGCAGCGAATCTGCCACGGGATCTGCGACAGGCACCCTGACCCGGCGGGCGATCGTTGAGACTGCTCCTCACGCCTCGTGCGGGCCGGCCCAGGAGCAAGCAGCTCCCGCTTCGCCAGGTGGACGCCCCAGAGTGGAGGAGGTGGACGACACCGCGGGCGCTGCTGGTGGCTCGCCAAGAGGCGGCCTATCGCTGGAAGTGGGCTGCGCCGATTCTCCTGTCGCGTCGGCCCATGACGCTGCTGCGGGTTCACGATCCGAGACAGATCTATCAGTTTCTAATGCTGCAGCAGGCGCTGGATCTTCTACGAATATTGTGCCACAACCAGGCCAACGTTCCCAGCCGCCTTCACGAGCACATACATGGTCAAAAAGCGGTATTTTTCGCCCTAAAGAATATAAGGACGGTTGTATTCGTTGGGCAGGTTTCTGCAGTACAGGAGAACCTGACACTCTTCAAGAGGCTTTTGGTGATGCAAAGTGGAGAGAGGCTATGGATGTCGAATATCTTGCTCTCATGAAAAATGAGACATGGCATCTTGTTCCGTTTCAGAGAGGACTTAACATTATTGACTGTTAGTGGGTATATAAAGTTAAGCGCAAATCTGATGGTACTGTTCTCAGGTACAAAGCACGCCTGGTTGCTAAGGGCTTCAAGCAACGTTATGGCATTGACTACGAGGACACCTTTAGTCCTGTAGTCAAGGCAGCGACGATCAGGTTAATTCTGTCTGTTGTTGTGTCAAAAGGGTGGTGTATGCGACAACTGGATGTGCAGAATGCGTTTCTTCATGGTGTTCTGGAAGAGGAGGTCTATATGAGGCAACCGCCAGGGTATGAGGATCCCAAGAAACCTGGTTTTGTGTGTAAGTTAGACAAAGCACTATATGGGTTGAAACAGGCACCGCGTGCATGGTACTCTCGTCTATCCACCAAATTACAGTCACTTGGTTTTACTCCTTCAAAGGCAGATACCTCTCTATTCTTCTACAGCAGAAATGGAATAACCATATTTATGCTTATTTATGTTGATGATATTATTGTCACAAGCTCATGCTCAAGGGCAGTCGAAGCACTACTATGTGATTTGCGTGAAGATTTTTCATTGAAGGGTCTAGGAGACTTGCATTACTTCTTGGGAATAGAGGTAACACCAGTACACAATGGAATTATTTTGTCTCAAGGAAAATATATTGCAGACATAATAAAGAGAGTTGGCATGAAGGATTGTAAGCCAGTCACTACACCGTTATCTACTTCAGAGAAATTGTCCTTGACAGAGGGCGAACTACTCGGGGGAGAAGATTCTACCAGGTACAGGAGCATAGTTGGTGTGTCACAATATTTAACACTAACTAGACCTGATATATCATTCTCAGTAAGTAAGGTGTGTCAGTTTTTGCATGCTCCCACTACGGTTCATTGGTCAGCAGTGAAGAGAATCATTAGGTATCTCAGATATACATCTTCTGTTGGGCTAAAACTTGTGAAGTCAGATTCATCTCTTCTTAGTGCTTTCTCTGATGCTGATTGGGCAGGCTGTCCTGATGACAGAAGGTCCACCGGTGGCTTTGCTATATTTTTTGGATGCAACCTTGTTTCATGGACTGCACGGAAGCAGCCCACAGTATCTAGATCCAGCACAGAAGCAGAATATAAGTCCCTTGCAAATGCAACAACAGAGGTAATTTGGGTACAATCATTGCTAAAGGAACTTGGTATTTGCCACTCGCGAGCAGCAATGTTATGGTGTGATAATCTTGGTGCCACTTATCTGTCAGCAAATTCTGTGTTTCATGCTAGAACTAAGCATATTGAAGTGGATTATCACTTTGTTAGGGAAAGAGTAGCAAATAAGTTACTAAATATTCGGTTTATACCGACAGGAGATCAAGTTGCAGATGGGTTTACGAAACCTTTGACAGTGAGGCAGCAAGAAGCTTTTCGGCGCAATCTTAATTTAGATAAGTTGTGATTGAGAGGGGATGTTAGAATACCTTGTGTACGTACATGTATGTTCAGGAGTCCTTGTATATTTCCTGTTGTACTTTGTTACGTCAGGTTGTCCATGATACGGCTTGTCTCTTGTATAGCTTCTCTTCCAAGCCAAGTCTGACAACCGACGTAATTCTCCTGTAACCTGTATTGCATATATATACACGTACGAGTCCCTGCTGCCGATACAGCAAACTCTTCCACCTAATTTTACAGAGCATAACCCCATATTATTTTTAAAGTCTATTCCTTACTGTCTGTAACATTACGGAATGATTAACACACAATGGATGGGATTCAGCTGCTTTTCCAGCTGGAAACCCAGTCGTACGTATGATTGTGCTCCGTATAGTTGGTTGTACTCGCGTTTGATGAACTGCACCAAGGGTCTGTGGCCTCCTCTAGTTCAGAGCCGACGGGAGCCAGAGAGTGCTGGAAGTTCATTTGGAATTGCGGTGTTACACCTATGATTGCAAATTTTGCATGGCGAGTGACAACGGACAGTTTACCGATCTGGAAAAATAAGTGCAGGATCGGCCTTGAGACTACTAGTACATGCCCAGTTTGTGAAGTTGCAGCAGTTTGTGAAGTTGCAGCAGAAGACAATTTTCACCCCTTTGTGAAGTGTCAATATGGCCGGGATCTGTACAGATCAATGGCAAAAATTTGGAGACTGCTCAATATAGAAACTTTCATCCCTACTGGAAAGGAATGGCTGCTGCATGTCCTAGCCAATTTGAGTGATTTGGAACGATGCATGCTGTTGATGATTTTCTGGAGAGGCTGGTACGTAAGAGGAATGAGCTAGTACACTCTAAGCCTACTCCGCCAATGGATGTATCAATCAGATTCTTGCAAAGCTATATGGAATCCTTGATGGCAGCAAAGTCCAACTCACGTTGTGATCCTGCTAGAGGGAAGATGGCAGTCGTTCTGCACGGTGCTACCAAGCGTACATGTGCAGTGGTGGATGTTTCGCCGACGTGGTCTAAACCGGTGAATGGATGGGTAAAACTTAATACAGATGGGTCTTTTGTCTAAAGTGAAATAGCTGGAGCAGGAATGATACTGAGAGACTCGGATGGCAAGATTATTTTCTCGGCCTGCAGGGCTCTATACTCGTGTAGAGATGCTTTGGAGGCTGAACTGTGTGTCTGTATGGAGGGCATCTCCTATGCTTTACAGCGGTCAGATTTGCCTATTGCAGTCGAGTTGGACTCTCTTGTGGCGGTATCTATGATCACATGTGATGGTTGTGATCGGTCTGCTTATGCTTTTCTGGTAAAGGAGATTAGATATCTTCTTAGTCTTCGTCAATCTTGTATTACTCACGTCTCGCGGTCGCAAAATAATGCCAGCGATAGTTTAGCTGCTTTTGGTAGAGCTCAAAATAGAACCATGACCTGGATTCGGTCGGCTCCGCCGGATGTGTTAGAACTGGTTGCGATGGATTACACTGATATTTTATGAGTAATACAAGTTTTGAACCCGCAAATAAAAAGTATAGTTGGTTGTCTATATCTTGTTTACTGCTGCATTCTGCTGTACTATTTGTGCCTACATATGCATCCTCAGTAGTAGTACAGATGCTAGACTTGTGTAAGGGGGTGTTTGGTTCCAGAGACTTTTTTGTGTTGGGACTAGAAAAAGTCTCTAGCAAATCAAACAGAATAGGATTTTTTTAGAACTTTTTACTAAAAGTCCTTAGAAGCACCTCCTTGAGAGTTTTTTTCAAAAAATTCTAGGGACTAGAAAAAGTCCTAAGACTAGAGAACCAAACACCACCTAAATCTCTGAATAATCTGGAATGGTGTCAATCTGCCACCATGATGGATCAACCTGAGCTGGTATCCTAAACATCACTAGTTGCACTGCAGAAAGAATAACCTGCCACAATTAGGACTGGACGCTTGAGCGAGCTTTTCGGCTCGGCCCGAAACTCGTTCTAGCTCGGCCCGACAAGAAAATAGGCCGAGCCGAGCTAGCAAATTACGGCCTGTTCGACGACCGAGCCAAACCGGTTTTCACTCGGTCCAGCTCGGTGGCTCGTTTCGCAGCCCAATTAATTTTATTTAGATAACTTTCAACCCATTGCCTAGAGATATCAGCCCACACGAGCAGCCCAAGCCCACTACAAACCACCCCGACTGGCACGTGAATCCCCTAGCCAGCGAATGCAGCCACCCCTGCTTAGGGTTTGCGCCTTGCTGCGCCGCCGCTGTCCAGCCAGTGGCCACCACCCGACGTCGTCTTCCTCCCCGCGCACGATGCTGATGGCTCGCCGTCGACACCGACAGGGTACCTGCATGTTGGCCGCTGCGCCAGACACCGCTGTTCGTCGCTCGCGTGATTCCTCGTCGATCATGCCACTGTCCCAGGCAAGAGCAGGTATGACCTCCAGTACATGCCCTCTTCTCCTGACGATGACCCTGGCAGCCGGCCACGCGGAGGAGACTTTGCACGCACAGTCGCACACACACGCGCCCAACTTCACCGGCGTCGGCCGGCGGCACCTACGCTCACTCCAGCCGCTGCCATCACACTGAATATACACACCAGCACTCACTCACACGAGCCGCTCGGGCTGGACCGAGCAAGAGACAAGACGAGCCGAGCCACTAGAAGTAGGCTCGTTCGCCAAATGAGCCGAGCCGAGCCAGCTCGCTCACGGGCGAGCCAAAGCCTAGCTCAGATCAAACTCGGCTCGGCTCGGCTCGTGTCCAGCCCTAGCCACAATGATGGATCAACCACCGCACTGATTGCATAAAGAAGTGCTAGTTAGGTTGTCTCTTTCATAGTAGTTGGGAAGAGAAAGGTAATCTAGAAAATTAATAGTGAATCGAGCTTTTCGATCTCGCACGCTTTGCACCGGCCCTGCAGAGTTGATTTAAAGGAGCAGCAATAATCATCTAGTGGAGTAGTACAACAATTGATGGCCTCTGACTCCGATCATCTTCGTGCCCGCAAGGCCTTTGACGACACCAAGGCCGGCGTCAAGGGCCTCGTTGATGCAGGCATCACCACCATCCCCTCCATCTTCCACCACCCACTGCCCATAGAGCACACAGATCATGATCACCACTTCACCATCCCGGTCATCGACCTCGCGGCTGCCACAGGTGGTACTACTAGTACTACCACACCATCCATGCGAGCTGAGCTGGTTGCAGCAGTGAAGGCGGCCGCAGAGACGGTGGGCTTCTTCCAGGTGGTGAACCACGGCGTGCCCAAGGCGGTCATGTCGGAGATGCTCGCGGCAGTGCGGGGCTTCCATGAAGAGCCGGTAGGGGCCAAGGCGCTCTACTACGGCCGGGACCATGGTCGGCCTGTGAGGTACTGGAGCATCTTCGACTTGTTCCAGTCACAGGCGGCCAACTGGCGCGACACCTTGATCATCGATACAGCGCCGGAGCTGCCGCCGCCCGAGGACATCCCACCCATATGCAGGAGCATTGCACCCAAGTATGTGAGGATGATGCAGCAGCTGGGACGCACCCTGCTTGAGCTGTTGTCGGAGGCGCTGGGCCTTTTCAGTGGCCACTTGGAGGAGGACGCCGCATGCCTGGAGAGGCTCGCCGGCCACTACTACCCGCCCTGCCCGGAGCCGCACCTGATGCTGGGCACCACACGCCACTCTGACCATTGCTTCCTCGCCGTGCTTCTCCAGGACGCCGTCGGTGGCCTCCAGGTGCTTCTCGAGGAAGACTGCGATGGCAGCAGCAACAACAACAACAACAACAACAACAACAACAACAACAACAACAACAACAACAACAACAAGTCGTCTGCTGTGTGGGTGGATGTGCCGGTGGTGGAAGGTGCGCTGGTGGTGAACGTCGGCGACTTCCTGCAGATCGTCTCCAACGACAGGTTCAAGAGTGTGGAGCACCGTGTGGTGTCCCAGAGCATCGGGCCTCGCGTCTCTATGGCCTGCTTCTTCCGAAGGCAGGACGCGGCCACGTCCACGAGAGTGCTAGCACCAATCATCGCCGATGGCGAGGCGCGGTACAGGAGCACGACGATGGCGGAGCTGGTCCGGCACAACAGGGCCAAGGGCCTCGACGGTAGCTCTGCGCTGCAGCACTTGAGGCTCTGAATCCATCCCATCAAAACTAGCCAGCATGCATGTGATGCATGTAGTGTAAGTTGCTCAAAATTAAGTTCATCGACTGAAGAACAGAGCATGCATGCATGCAGTTTGAGTACGGGGTACATATGTAGCTCTACTATGGAAGAATCTAAAAAATGGAAATAAAATGAGTTGATTGAAGCCACCAATAATAAAAATATCACCACGATGCTTACGGCCACTACTTAGACTACAAATCCCAGAAATAAAAATAACAGGCCAACAACTTGTAAACCATAACTACTCTCTTGCAAAACATTGCTGAAAAAACACAAAAGATCCACTAGTTGATGCCACATGCCTTTACCCCCTTCAAGTTCCCCAGTTCAATCATTTGCCGCAAATACCTTGCACGACTAAAATAATTCTTTCTTCACTACTTAGTCATACATGCATGCAGTTAGCAATTGGTGAAAGAACCAAATGGAGATTCAACAGAGGAACCATGATTCAGACTTTTAGAGATGTGCTGAAGATTATGGCGGTAACACAGCTAGATTATGGGAAGATGCATGTTTAGAGGAGACGCCACTGGCCACAGAATATCCTTCCCTTCCCACAGTTTGTTGGCTGACGACATGATTATTTTTACAAACACACTTAAATACAACGTAGTACTCCCTCCGTTTTTATTTACTCCACATATTAGTTTGTTTGAAGTCAAACTTTACAAACTTTGACCAAGATTAAAGAGAAAAACATTAACATATACAAAATCAAATCAATACCATCAGATTCATCATTGAATATATTCTCACCTCATATAATTTTTTTATTGTGAATGTTTATATTATTTTTTAGAAACTTGGTCAAACTTTATGAAGTTTGACTTTGGTCAAAGTTAATATGCGGACTAAATAAAAACAGAGGGAGTATTAAATATACTCTAAGGGGTGTGTGTTGTGTGTTTAATGCCAGTGCTAATCAAGCGTCTTCCGTCTAATCACATGCATGTTTTCATGATTCAGTCTTAGCATACCAAGTAGTTAGATAAAGATGATCTCCCAGAACTTACTTGGAGGGACATGGCATATATAGCTTTGTCATGACATACAAGTAGTCGGATAAAGATGATCTCAAAAATTTACTTGAAGGAGTATGACATATATAGATTCCGCCGATTGTAAATTGAAGCAACAACATTAAAATATACTCAAAATAAATAAGCTAATAGAAAAAGATAATTTTTTAAAGTCAACCGACTACTATCGAAATGAGAAATTAAAAACATGGTGGGAAAACCGATGAAGATGATAGAGGGAAAACATGTTGCCCTAATGATTATTTGCCACATACAGGATTTGGATTCGGCGCCCCTTTTTCACGGTCGCTGGCGAGGCGCCGATGAATGAGCAGCAGAATCCTTAGTTACATTGCAGACGAATCTAAAACCTTGAATCGATGGAGCTAGCTAGACGCAGTGGCACTTGCAGTAGGCCGTGCAGCAGGATGTGCACCCACGGGAGTAGTTTTCCTTGCAGGCGGTGCACGTCCGCGACTCACCGCAGACGGCGCCGCACAAGCTGCTTTGGTTGCTGCAATTGCCTTTGCAGGTGGTTTCGCAGTCGTATGCACCCGGTGTTTGGGCTTTGCACGCCCTCAAGCACCCCGACATGCACTTGCCTTGGTAGTAGGAGAGGCAGCCCGAGCATCCCGGTGTCGGGCTGCAGTCGGCGCCGCATGGGCCGGCTCCGGCAAAGTTGGCGGCGCTGCACGTGGAGTTGCACTGCGGCATGCAGTCCTTGCATGCCGTCATGCCCGCCGCCGGGCATCCCATCCCCAGCAGCACAAGGACAACCATCACGGCTAACACAGTTGCACTCCTACTTGGTGAAGGCGCCATTACTTAGTTGCAAGGGGCAACTTAGCTAGCTAGCTAGTAGTACTGTACGTGGAAGAGAGCAAGAGAAGAGATGACCTCAAGTGGAACTTGTGTCCATGGGATAGAGCACCTATCCTCGCTATTTATAAGACAGGGGTACTGGCTAAATGCAACTTGTAGCTACCCATGCATGTTACTAAAGTTGACCTGAAGACGAGTAGCCGCTCCATTCAATACATACATATACAGCAGTTACGCTGTTAGTAGATGCCATGTCGGTTTCTGTCTGTGTGGTAACATGTATGCAAGTGCCGATGTATGTAAGGATGAATTAATTGAAGCGTGTCAACGCTTTGAGCTTAAAGAAGTTTTTTTTATATATCAAAAGGCAGGGTCACTGCTTTCACAAGTTCATTTGGGGTCAGCGAATCTATCAACTTCCAGTTAATACCAGATCTGACCATTTAACATCAGGACGATTTAACACCATAAGCATAACCAAGCCCAGATGGATTGACCACGTGATGGATCCGAGGAATCTGCGCTATGGCCTCCTTGATTGATCGGATCGACAGCACAGCTAGCTAGGTGCTCATCAGCATCTCTCGGCAACTCCATCCATCCTATGACGAATCACACGATTCTTTGCCTGATTCTTTCTTGGATCGACCAGTTTAGCTGGTACGCCAGTGGTGCATGTGCAGTCCTGCCTAGGATCCATCACTTGGTGTACTTGGATGAATGATCTGTTTATGCAATGTCAACCCATTAGATACCATGAACGAATCAACACACGAGTGAGTGTATATACATGATGCACCTGTGAACCAACACCAACCTGCCCAGCAAGCTGTATATGCACATGACGTACTAGAATGACACAACATGCATGTTACGCCATCAAATACTGACATCACACGGTGCATCCGCGAAACAACAAGTGGCAAGACTTGTGGAGTAAGACTTTTTTGTGCCATTTGCTCCACCGACACCCCAACCTCCCTTCGGCTTGCCATGATCCACGTTAATTTGGTTTTCAACCCGTTAGGCCATGTACGACTCCATACAGTCAGTTGTCCGTAACACATGTCACATAGGAAATTTTTATGATGACACTGTTAGAGTTGACCTTGTTATTTAGTTTTCATCGTATTTTGTTTCATGCATATTTTTGAGTCATGCACGTAGTAGTAGCTGCGGCAGTGTGCACACATAGAGATGTGTCCGTCTGTGTGCGTGCAAGCTACAACAGTATTGTGTTTAGCTGAGTCAAATGCATACATGCAAGGGTTAGTTAGTGGCTGCATGGATAAGTTGTTAGCTGACTGGAGAGATTCCAGGGTAGTTAGCTAGGCGGGCGTGCGTGCGAGAGGCCTGCCCCTGTTGTATATGTGTTGCATATATCAAGTAATGAGAGATAGAGGCCGTGAGGGCTGAGGAAACAATGTAGCCATGGTGTGCATAAAGGAGGTGCCTATTGGCAAAGCCATGTGTTTTTCTTCCTTGGTGCTTGTGGGTGTTGTGGTCTCACACAAATGTTCATGACAGAATAGAGAGATTTGTGTGAGGCTGCAAGAGGAAAAAGAAGCGGCACAACGAGAGGAGGTGGCGCCAACAGACACATGCTCTTTATTTCCCAGAGAGCTAGTTTATGAGGTTTGGAAAGAACTCAAAATAGGCTTTGCCCCGCTTTATTATATTATAAAGCAAAAACCGAATGGACTACACAACCGAATGATACAAGGTGGAGAGGTAGCCTCCTTAGAAAGCCGATACCACAATGTTCGGATCACGTACAATGCAAGCAACTATGCTAGCGAAAAAGGACAGAGGAGGATCCAAGTACAACACCGCGCTACATGTAAACACACCTAAGCTCCACGACAACGCCCTCATGAGGGATGCCGGTGCCACGCGTCGCCGCTGTCGAGTCCACAATGGATAAAGGATTTCACCTGAAACCCAGACAGGCAGGGGGACACCACGACGACGTCTTCAAGAAGAGAGCGTCGCCACCGTCGGTTCTAGAACGCTCCCAATATCTCGCACGTGCCACACGAGGTCTTCAGGACAAGAATGACGAGTTCAAATCCTCTAGGTGACACAACGGAAACCGAAACTGCACCCGAGCCACATTTTGCTATGCCGCACACCGCCCACAAGACCAAAAGACAATTCCACTACTACCGTGATGGTGCCTGCTAAAGAGCCTACCACACTGACCATGGCCGCCGCTTCGGCATCCATGCCACGAGACATCACCAATCATCCGCTTCAGAGTGCACACGCCGCGGTTGGAAAATCCCGGCATCAGCCCCTAGGTCAGGCTTAGCGCCGCCACGGTAGGGGCACCCAGCCTGAAGTCCCGTCCAGTCCCGGTGGACTAGGGGACATGACCCTATGGCTGCCAACGGTCATCACCGAGCCATTAACACAGACGACGCCAAATCCGCGGCCTTCAGCACCGATCAGACTGTTGGCACAACGTTGTCATGACCACCACCGCCACGGTCCTTCACCGACAACATAACATGCGGATGCCCCCAATCGAACCACAAGCTCCTACTATGGCCGGAACGGTGGCAGCCTAGAGCCCTGCACCGAGTCCCGCGCGACCAAGCCCGGACGTCACACGAGCAGCAATGAACCATGTGCAGGTCCGCGTTGCTGGCCTACTGCTAGCCAATGCACCCGGGAGAGGCGTACGTCGACCCATCAGATTTGGGCCTCCCAGATAAAGATGGTAGGACGCCCAAGGCAGCTTGCAACCGCAGATTATAGGAAAGTGTGATGGTCTACCACTTGCTGTAAAAGTGATGGGAGGGCTTCTATGCCAGAGGGAAAAAGAACAACGTGCTTGGAAAAAGGTTCCAAATGATGTTATATGGTGAGTACCTCAAATGCCAGAAGAGCTAAATTATGCAATATTGCTAGCTATCAGGACTTGCCCTCGTGTTTGAGGCAATGCTTTCTCCATTTCTCCATTAACCTAAAAAGAAGGATATGCCATCCTATGAAATTGTCGGCAAGTGGGCCAGTGAAGGTTTTGTTCATGGAATCTCAGATGGATTAGAAGAATCAGGACTTGTGTATTACAAGGAACTGATGCTACGTGACCTTATAGAGCCAGATCCAGATGACATTG